AAAACAATACGAATCTTAACAAACAAATCACTACTAATCAACAACAAATTCAACATCTTGAAGGAAGCAATACTCATCTTGGTGAAGAAATCGCAATTTATCAACAGCAAATTCAACGTCTTGAAGAAAACAAGACCTATCTTACCAAACAAACCACAACTCAACAACAGCAAATTCAACGTCTCAAACAAGAAAGTCAAGGTATATTTATTTCATTATCATTTTTAGGCACCATATTAGTTCTCTCAAGACTATTTCTTACAGAGGTTGCGGATTGAGACTTAGTAAGAACCTCAATGCATCCATACCTACAGCCACATTTCGCAGCCATAGCAATGCTTCACACTCCGAAATTCACTTCATGCCTAAAGCCTCAACCAAATCATGCTACCATCCAGACCACTTTTGTCTAATAATATTGATAAAAATGATTATTACTTCAAAATGTTAAAAAGCAAAAAAGAAATTTCAAAAATATTTAATTGAAAACCGTTCGTAAAATTCAACAATAGAGACCTAGTTCTACTAAATTTCGTACGTTTTGAGAGTTAATCATAACCAAAATAGAAAAATGATTGAATTGAAGCATAGTACTAAGAGTAACATTTTATTTATTCATAATTTTTATATAAAATAAGGTATATTTCTTTGATACAATTGTGCACCTTACTTCCTATGAAGCGTCACTGATATACATATATATTTATATATGAGTAATAACTTAACCAGCAAATAAAAAAGTATTCGATTTTCAGATGTTTCGAAATAAACTATTATAACAATTTAATTTCTGAATTCAACGTGATATTTTGATTTAACAGGTGTAAGTCAGGCGAATTCAGGGATCATCCGAGATTTTCAGACGATGGAAAATTTTCTTATCAATAGGCATTTTTTTTCTTTGGTCAGTATTTCAAAATATGAAACAACCGAACCAAAAAACAGGTGGCCTAAGGAACAATTAAAGTAATTATATTGTTTCTTGTCCTTCGATTGAGAGAATTTTTTCAGTAATGATCAATTGAATTCAATTTAACAGAATATGAATAATGAAAAGATAAATAATGAGCAAAAAAGCATGGGTTTTATTTATATAGACATACATACATAATAGCTCGTCTCTTTATTCTTCAATAAAAGCTGCTAGGTATGCTCTTAGGTACCAGAGGATAAATGTTTCGGAGTAGTTTCCTTCAGAAGGTCTACTATTACAGTGAAACCATTTGACATTGAAGGCCGTTTATTATAGGCGCAGAGGTTGTGATGACAATCATTTAGAAGCGGACTAACGAGTTGAATTAACAAATCAGCAGTTTTAGTTCAGTATAGTGGAATAAAAAGAAACTAGGATGTGGGTGTGAGTCTTCTCTCATTTTACATTCACATCCCCACCCTCTCTTTCAAAGTGAAGTTCATGAAAGGCAAAAAGTTCACTGGATTGCATTTTTCACTTATGGATAGGTTGTTTTAAAACGATGGCAAGTTAAGAATCAGAACCAGTAAATGACAAAAAGCCGTTTCAGCTTTGCAAAACTTCTCTAGTTTACTTTATGGTCATATCCTAAAACATCTAAAAGTCACCGATTCAGATTAAGTACAGAAAGATA